CGGGGGTCGAGCGCCGCGCTCAGGCCGCCCAGCGTTGGGTGTCCCGCGCTGGGCCGGTGCCGCCGCTCCCGCCCGCCCGTCCCCGCAGCCCCCCTCGCTATTCCCCGCCTCGGAGCCGCGGGGCCCGAGCCGCTAATCCACTAAGGGGATTGGAGGTCGCCGCTCCTTCTTATTCCTCCTCGGTGACTCCGCCGGACTTCCCTTTTATTTTATCCTTTTCTTAAAAATATTTCTTTCCTTCCCTCCGCCCTTTCGTCGTACTTGGTGTCCTAAAATGTTTCATCCGCTTTCATAAGTTTCAAGTTGAAAAATAGTTTTGTTGTTTTGTACTATCCTCCACTGAGTTCCTGCTCTCTGAGTTATCAAAGCCAGGAAATTTCACGGAATTTCCCTCTAAAGCACTTAATTCTCTGTCTGAAAATGCCAGTAACTCCATGATTAGTACCTTTTTTTTTTTTTTTTTTTTTTTTTTTTTTTCCCCCCTGTATTTAGAGAGCCACATTCTTATTTGGGATTACTGTTCTCCACTACAATCTATCATAATCCCAGAAAGCTAGGAAAATCCAGCATATTATCATATTATGATACCCAGAAAATAGTATCTTTTACGTAGATCTGTATGTTCTGAGTATTTTCCTGATATTGTCTGCAATATTCTGCTGTTTCAAAACCTCTTTATTTAAGCTATTCCAGAGTTTTAATACAAAGCCTAGTCCTGTAATCCTTACTCGAACCAAATGGTTCTTAAAAATAGAAAAAGATCTCCAGAAACAGGATGCTTAGGGAAAAAATGTAGAGTTAAAAGCAACAATAGGATATCTATTTATAGTCTTGCTAAAACTATGCCATTTAATGCTTAAAGCTTAGCATTTGCCATACAGTGGGCTCGCACTATTTGCAGCTTCACCCTAAGTTTGCCACGTGATCTTTGCCAAGCCTTTTAACCTCATTAAATAAGGGTCATCTTGTAAATAATCACTTGATTATTTTTGTCATGATCCTTCGGCTGGCTTTGTTTTGATTTCTGCTGCACTTGAAGCAATAAAGCACGATAGTGCTGCTAAGCTTTACAAAATTTCTTCTTCCGAGTAAAGTCCCAGTTGAGCTCCTCTCATCCCAAACTGCTTCAAGACCTAATTTCCTTCCTTGTTTTATAGCAAAACAGATTATTTTCAAATAAACTGTTATTTCTAGGGATGGGCAGTCAAACTTTCCAGTTATTATCCAGCTATTATATTATCCAGAAAAGTAATTTATTTTTCAGGCAGTTCTTTCCCCAGGAATATGTATGACATTTTACTCTAGAAGACACCACAGACAGACACTCCATTCAATCAACAGGGACAATACTATCAAATTTATTTTGTGTTATTTCATATCCTTGATTAATTTACTGAAGTAGCAGACCTTTGAGGTTCCTTAATCTCCTGGTAAGCAATGAGGATACACTTTTAAACTTGTGCTATTTTTAATCTATCCCTGTATATTGCATGTATATTGTAAGGCATGATCTGAATGGTAAGACTGTATATTAAAAAAGATACATCCTTGTTGTAATACTACTCAAAACTTGCCCTCCCAGGTAATTTTTCTAGTGTTTGTGTTTTTAAGATATTTTTCCAGGTTAGAAACCTTTCAGGTGACTTAAAAACATGTGCAGAAGTAGCTGTTGTCCTCATGAGTGTGACTGCAGTCGTAGTGGCAGCAGCTGGCACATTTAATGATGGTCTAGCTCCAGCTGTGTGAAAGAAAACCACGTCTATCAATTCTGCAAATAGAAATGGGATAAAAATAGAATATCCTCAGAGACCCTGTCTCTAAAAGACTGTCACCAGACACCTTGACCCATTTTTGCTGTCTGTCAGAATATATAACTTTTGAGCTAATATATTTGTGCCATTTGCCCAGTAAGATGGCAACAACTATAAAACCTTATGTAAAGGAAAGACTCTTTGCTCCAATTGAAGGCAATTGGTATGTTTTTTTAATCTTCATTCTCTTGTGAAGTAGTTTGCAGCTCCCATCACATTATGCAATAAGGATTACTCACGATTAACGTGACGAAGCTTGGGTTAAAAGTCCATTGCAGTTAGGTACGGCCTCCCAACTTTGTCCTGAGATCAGTACAGAGATACCTCCCGATTTTGACTATTTGCAGCCTTCCTACAAGATTTATTCAGCTTCACCAGAAAAACACAAGCCAGTGACTCCTCCCTAAAGGCTCTTGGTGTCATCTGCAAACAACCGAGGCAAGGGCTGACCTGGAACACAAGCAGAGGGAGAAATGCTGGGAGAGCTTCCTTCAACACTGCTGCCTCACACAACAACTGCACAGCACGGCAGAGAGCAGGCAAATACACAGAGCTCTCTGTTGTCAACCACTAAAGATCAGCTTACTATATTTTATAGGGATGATTTCCTTTAATTTAACTGAAATTTTCACTCCAGAATGTATGAGGAAGAAAGTACTTATCATACCATGAAACAGGTTTTAGCTTAAAAGATACATTCTGGGAGGATTGTATTTAGTGACAAGCAGTTTTTGTCTCCCTTTACCATGTTTATAAATATTTGTTGTACATCAGTGGCCTACATCTTGGCCTCTTTATGTAAAATTTAGCTTAGGAGGGTGGTGGCTCAACAAAACTCAAGTATAACTCTAAAATACTGGACAATATATTAGGCTAAACTATTTTCCTTTGTTGTTCCTGTGTGGAACCACTAGCCTTGCATGTAAAAACAAAGCATCATTTGCATTTAAAGCACAGTTAATGTCTTAGCATTAGACTAAATGAGAAAAAAATACTGTGCAAGCCTCTACTGCTCTCCAGTGGAAAATAATGCAATCAGCATGGCTAAAGTCCCACCATTTCTCAAGCTTTTGCATTTTTTATAATATTAATTTCTTTTTCACTGCACTGCTGTTAGGCCACCTGCTTCCTTAGCTCAACTGCATTAGAAATACATACACCTAATGAGAGATAGTGATTTCCCCAAAGAAATATAAATTATATGAGGAACATGAAGCACTTGCAGAAATGCTGAGATCTCTTAAGTAGATGTTTTCACATTTACACTAGATGTGCAATAGCCCACATTACGCCAATGATAAAATAAATGATCCAGGATGAAACTTGCTGTTCCAAATCCCAGGAAAACTGGTGTTTCTGAGCAAGTGCAACATGCTTTCAGAATTGTTACTGCTTTCAGAATTGTTACAGCTAATGAAAACAGCATGTTTTGATACTGGTTCATCTAGGGCCCTCTTGACAAACACAAAAACGGGCTTTTCTTGCATGCAGGGATTAGCAAATGCAGCAAAGGAAGCATCACTTGGATGCTGTGAAGCTGAACCTGTCAGTTACCCCTAAATAAATCGCTTGATCTACTTATGCCGCAGCTCCTAGGTACGCAATGAATAAATAATAACGCGTTCAGGGGAGCGCGGCGCCGCCCTCAGCGCCTTGTTAGCGCCTGGAGTTAAAGCCGCCTCACGGCGGGGGCCGCTAAGGGGGAGCGCTGGGCGGGAGCCTCGGGCCGCTCGGTGTCCGCGGGCTCTGCAGAGCGGCCGCTCCGGCTCCGCGCTCGGGCCCCGCAGCCCCGGCCCGCGCTCTCCCCGCCGCCGCTCGGG